CTTGTAACTATTACCGATAGTTGTGTGTTTGCTTGAGCTTCTGTTGAGCTTTGTGTTTTCTTTGCTTGTTGAGTTTTTCTCTTGTTTCTGAGGCTGGCTTCTGAGTTTTCCAAGAAAATTACCAAAAAAGGAAAATTTTTAAGGAAATTTAGGATCAGCGGAAAGAGTTTTTTTTTTTTTTTTTTTTTAAATAATTAATTATATAATCAAAAAATTATAAAATTTATATATATTATGTTTTAACACTTATTTTATTTATTTATTTATTTTTTTGAGTATCTATAGCCAGACTAGATTATAATTTAATAATCAATTGAAAACATAAATTTATTTTCATTTGAGTAGTATTATATATATTATAGTTAATTATTTCTATCAAATCTAACTAACTTATCATAAGTAATAATAATCTTTAAGTTTAATATTGGAAATAATATTTAGTTCTATAATGGTCTTTGGATAAAGACCCTTCTAGTCCATTACTTCATTGTCAATAAATTATTATTGCTAATTATATTATCAAGTTACTGAAATATAGGAAACTACAAAAGAATAAGTTAAAAAAAAAAAAATATATATATATACATGTATCTAAAAATATTCAAATGGATATATAAGAAACAAAAAGAAAAAAAGAAAAAAAAATTATTTGACTTTCTATAAAGACTTGCTTCTTAAGATTTCCTTTCAATAAAAAATATCTGATTGGAATATTCTTTCTTTTTCTGATTATCTAAGGAATTTATTTATTTTTAATCTTGAATTTATTTTTGTATATTATCTGAAAAAACTTATCACCTAGTGAGAGCCTTTTCTTTTAGTAATACATTTAATTTCAACCTTCTTTAGATAGTGATTTTTTATCCATATGTAATAAATAAATAATTTATAATAAACCCTAGACTCTTATGTAACCTAGTAGAAATTAAGTTATATTGTTTTAATATAATATCTTTCAATAATCACATCCAGTTAAAGAAATTTTACTAATAAATATCTTTCATTATTCAAAAAGTCAGATTCTTTATTTTTCTTTTTACTTTGTAATAATAAAAAGGTAATCAGCTAAGGGGATTCTTATTGTTTATGTTATTTTTTAACAACTTTTGAGAAAATGCATTCTTAATTATAATCAAAAAGTTGAAGTTCAATATAAATTAAAGATCATTTAGTCTTATTGCTTAATTGAAATAAGAAAGAAACTTTAATCTTAAACTTTGCTTGATCAGAATAATAAGAGATAAAGACCTCAACTTAAATAAATAGTGGTTTTTTTATTATCTGAAAACTTGTTACTCATATTTTATTGGTCTCATAGTACTTAATCTATAGATTAATCCAATTGAAAGAGTGAGTAAAAATAAGATATTAATCAATACTTTCTATCACCAATGATATTATCAAAATATATAAAATAATCAGTAGGAACTTGTTTATATTTAACTACTAATATATTTTATATTCACTAATTATATTTTGTAACAGGTTGGATAAAATTCCTCAGAAATTTAAAAAATTTTAATGACTATAAAAAAGAAAATATAATGAGCAGATATCTTGAAAATATAATTTGATATTTATTACTTTTCATTGTAAAAAATAATTATAGATATATTTCAATATAAAAGGTTTCAAGTATTATACTATTAATTTTTCTTTTTTGTAAAACTTTTTTACCATAGATAGAAAAAATGGTTTAAGACTTTTTTAGATCACAGAAAGCCAAGTTTTTATTTGAAAACAAATATAAATAAAAGAAGGTATTTGAAAGTAACTTTTGAAGTAAAACTTCAAGTTAGTTTAAGAATAGTATTAAGACTTTATTAACAAGAAAATAAAAAATTTCTTATGAATATTTTTTTTGTATATGAATAGAAGATTAGCAGAAAAAGGTTTTCTCTTTAATACTTATTCTATTTCTTATATTTTTTGAAAAAAAATTTTTATTAATATATTTAAAGTTTTATTATTGTTAAATATTTTTATTTTTTTTATTAATTATTATATGATTTACTATAATAGCCAATCAAAATTCTTCAAAAGTAAAAATTTGATAAAGAAAAAAAATTTTAACAATAATAATATATTGCTATTATATATTATTATATTATTATTTGTATAGATTGTTACTAAGTTTTTACCAAACCTATAATAAATACTATAAAACTATCAAAAATTGAAATGATTTAATAATTAAAAAATAAAATAATAATTAATAATTCTATTTTTTTTTAATTTTTAATATTATCTATAATTTATTAAAAAAATAATGCAACAACAATTTAAATTTTTAAAACCTGAAAACAAGAGAATTATGAATTATCCAATGAGATATAAAATAGAAAAATGTAAAAAAGTATTTCCATAAATTTCGAGTTTTCATGGAATTTTGACTTATCATAGAGGCTGAGCCCAATTAATTCTATAATTGGAAATTGAGTTACAAAAATATTCCTTGATGTATCAGGAATCTTACTCGCACAGAATAACATCCATTTATTTTCTCATTGAAGGGAAGATCATATCAATAGATCATTATGTTTGCTTTTCGAATGCACATGCACGTGATTTTTTATAATCACAGGTTGTACGACCTCAGGGTAAGGTAAAAGAAAAAATTCATTACATACGCATGTATTCCATGCCAACTGTACATACACGTATCACACGCTATTCAGGTCAGCACTGATTTTCAGTGGTGGCCTAATGCTCATTCGGTGAAGCGTGGAATTTATATGGGATATTGAACTAAAGATCAAGCAGTGCCTCGACGATTATCCAAATATAGTTAGAAAGCACCTTCCGAAAAGGAATTTAAAACCTGTTTGACGATTTATTAGGTATTTCATCAAGGTTTTGTGATCACGCGATTACTATTTTGCTTTACGAAGGTTGTGATAATTATGCGTGATTCTGATACGATGGAAACAAAGAAGTTTTAGGGCTGAGCCTAAATAAAAATTTTTTTGGGATTTTCTATGCGATGCGACCTTTAAGTTATAATAAAAATGATAACAAGACATGTCATAGGACATTCTCGTATGATTGGATGTCGATAAATTAAAATAAGCTGTAGAAAATTGATCCAAATTCTAAAGAGTACGTCACATTTTTTTGTGGCTTCCTGCCATAAATGGCTTGGTGATTAACACCTGATGAACCAATCTTCAAAGAATGAAAGTTGCATACGTACGTATGTAATATAACCTCCTAGGCGTCTCACTGTGCAATTTGATAGTTGCATGAAAAAATGTCTAAACACCACTAAATAGTTCCAAAGAAAATCTAAACCGCTGTTGTGCCCCCGTCATTTTATGTCGTCGGATTTTTCTATTGTTTACTACCGTTGTGCTTCTTTCTTTTTGCCTAATCTACTTTTTTGTTCCTTTACCTTTCCTTATCTCTTTCCTCCTTTGTTATATTTATACCTTTTTTTTTTGTCCTTTCACTTGAGTTTCTTATCTTGCCGTGGAACTCACGGTGGTTCCCCGTTATTCAGAGGGTCGGATATCTTCCGGTGAAACACGGCAACATATGACACATTCGACTGAGCTAAATCACCGAATTCAAATATATTACTGTTGTTTCCTTGAGACTGTCAACCAAGTTTGAGAAACACAAGAGCTCGGCCATTACTAGAGACTTATTTGGGGTTTTTCCTGTACTGTTTCTTTGGCTCTCGCCTTCTTTCTTGAGAATCGGAGTTTACGCCTACAGAATTTCACGAAAATCGGTCAATGGCAAACGGTGAAAAAAGGTTAATGCCAGAAGACAGAATGGAAAAAAGAAAAGTTAATAAAAGGCGCCAAACCGGTACGGCAAAGGATGATATTGAGGTATCTTTCTCCTGTACTCTTTTTTTTCAATGAGAATCGAGGTTTTTATGTTTGTGATCAACGTGAAAATTAATATAAATAAGTGATTCTCTTAATTTTGCACTCGAAAGCTTTTCCAGTCGCCACCCAGTTCTCCACGCTTAGCACCAAAATCATCACATCTTACATCATCTCTGGAAGCACCTTCTCAATTACAGACACCTTTTTCGTCTCCTCCGACCTCACGACCCCCATCTCCAAATCCGGTGGATACACCGTTATCATCCGCCCGTCTCTCAACGTCACTGTCCAAAGAATCTAGTTATAATGTCGCAGTCATTACCATTGTCACCCGCAATCATATTTTGTTAAATGGTGATTTCGTTGCTCATGAATCACCACAACAAAATATAAAGATAATTTCTCCCAGTTCCCACGTGAATATCATTAGTAGCTCTGTGCCTCCATGTGCCAGGTGTCCACCAGAAATAATATATCATATATTTGAGATTTTACGCAATCTTCATCAACCTTCACTGTTCTCCTGTGTTCTTGTTAATCACCAATGGAATGCCATTGGAACAAATGTCTTATGGAGTTCACCAAAATTTACTCACATGCGTTCTCTTGACAAATTCATTAAAACCATGGAAAATGCACCATCACGCCAGCAACAACAACAAGTATCAACAACAACAACAACAACTGCATCATCATTAAATCATCCTTACGCTTCCTACATTCGCACCTTGGATCTTACATATCTCACAGAGCATGATCGCAATAATTCCTCCTTATCATCACATCTTCTCCGTTTGCTTCCACTTATTCACACGGAAAGTCTTCGCACACTTAACCTAAGTTTTGTTAAAGGCATTACTAATAGCTATCTCACGAAATTATTATCTCCATTTTTCAATTGCATCCGTACCTTAAATCTCGCTGGTGGGTCGCGTTCGGACGCGTGTCTCTCATCCATCATACCACATTGTCATCAAATTCAACATCTTTCACTTGCATGGAATACGTCACTTTCGGACGCATCAATTAACAAAATTGCGAGCGTATGCGGTAAGGGACTGCGCACGCTCGATTTAACAAATTGCGAAAAGGTTAGTGACAGGTCGATGAATTCCATTGCGCAATATTGCGTAAAATTGAGAGAATTGAGGGTTAGTTATTGTCGTGGGGTTAGTGAGGTGGGGGTGGAATCGGTAGTTGAAGGCTGCGAAGAGTTGAAATTGTTGGATTTGGTGGGATGCCTGAGTGTCGACAGGGGTTTCTTATTGAAATGCAATGACGATTTGGATTTGGTGAGGCGTGACTTAAAAGTCGTCTGGCGTAGGGTGACAGAAGGCTCGCCAGCCTGGGTTGAAGATGGTTGAGATGTGATTTAATTTTCTTGGGTTTTCTGAGGGATCATGTGGCATCAAATATATACATATTTTTTTTTTTTTTTTTTTTTTTTTTTTTTACAAAACCAATTGCGGCTTTGGGTTTCACGACCTGTGTTTTACTAGTACATCGGTGTGTCAATCAAAAAGAAGATTTACGACTCTTCGTGCTATGATCATTAAACATTTAAACTATACATACATAACCTTGGAAGGACAGGTGTGAATTGACGATGTCAATACCGGCAGCGCTATTTAATTTAAATGCAATGAGCATTTATTTCTTTCGGATAAATTTCCATTTTATTATTCATCGCTTACTTGAATTAATGAAATATTCTCACATTCAATAATCGCAATTTGCCAATTATTTACTTTGGCTCAAGGAACAATCCGCCTCAACTGGTTAACATCTGCTTGTGATTGCTAAAATATAAAAAATCAGATGATTAAAAATTAAATGAATAAATTCAGTAATCACCAAAGAAAATAAATTTAAATTTAGTCAACGTATATTAAAGACCAATTGTTCCTATTCAACTCATTTATCAATGTTAATTAATTCTAGGTATAATATTGAAAATAATTTTTTGCTTCAGCAGTAATTCAAGTAAATACCCTTCCAATTAAAAATATTATAGACAGCAATTTATTATCGTTAATTTAGTTCATAATTAGATTAATTTTATAATATATATAGTATCTATATATAATATTTGCAATTTATATAACTTTTATATATAACTTAATGCCTTGAAGTTTAATTTTTTCTAAAAATAATATTTATTATTTTTAAGTCGATCAGATAATTTTTTAGAGTATATTATTATCTATTTTTTGAGATTCTATATTGTAAATTAAAATTTTAATTATTTTATTTCTTTTGAAACCTATTTATCTATAATTCTAAATATATTTTATTATATATAGTATCTATAAAGTTTTTTTTATATTTTTAAAATAACTCTTTCTGTTGATTCTCTGATCATACACAAAAAAGATGTTCACAAGAAATTTTATACTTCCTTGCTAATAAAATCTTTATACTTTCATTAAAACAACTTGAAACTTGTCTTCATTTATCTCTCCTACTCTTCCTTACTTGTTTATAGACTTCTTTGAATAAAACTTGAGTTTCTAATGACCTGAAAAGACTCAAGTATACACTTCCTTTACTAAAGACAAGAAGGTTCTAGGAAGTAAAAGGATTGACAAGTGAAGTGTTACCTTCCAAAGTTAAAAGTGATAAGAAATAGAGGTTTTGTTGATAGGGAAAGACTTATTATTTACCTTTTCACATACTATCTTATATCTTCTTAAAGTATCTATTATTTTTCATGGTTTTCTTAAGGGATTTTACCTACTTCAGTTTGAACTTGAATTTTTAATAGCACAATGTCATTTGGCATCTGATTGGTTAACATGAAATATATTAGTAGCAGAATATAAACAAACTCATATTGGTTACCTCATGTGTTCTAATGATATTATGATGATTAAAAGAGTTGATTGGTACCCCATATTCACTCCATTCCTTTAATTGAATTAACCTACAAATCAAGTTCTATGAAATCAATAAGATATGAGCAACAAATTTCCAGGTGATAAAAAAGTTACTATTTATTTAAACTGAGATCTTTCTTTCCTATTATTCCAGTCAGGCAAAGTTCAAGACCAAGGTCTTCTTTTTATCTTGATTAGATAATAAGATTGAATGGTTTCTAGTTCTGTTAAGCTTCAATCCTTTGGTTATAGTTAAAAATGCATTTTTCCAAAAGTTGAAAAGGATATCACAATCGACAAGAATTCCTATTACTTTTAAGACCTTCTCACTATTATAAGACAAAATGATTATTGTGAATCTAACCTTTTGAGTAATGGAAGATATATATCAATAAAATTCCTTTAATTAGATATAACTGTTAAAAGGTATAATATTGAAACGATATGATTCAGTTCCTACTAGGTCATATAAAAATCTGGGATCTATTATAAGTCATCTTTTCACTTGTGATGAATAAAAAATCACTGCCCAAATAAGATTGGAACCAAATGTATCTTGGAAGTAAAGACTCTCACTAGGTAATAAGTCTTCTTAGATAATATATGAAAAGAAAATCAAAATTAAGAATGGATAAGTTCCTTAGACAATTAGAAAAAGAAAGAATATTTTAATTGGGCATTTCTTATTGAGAAGAGGTCTTGAGAAACAGGTTTTTGAAGGAAGTTGAAAAAAATTTTTTTCAATTTTTATCTTTTCATTTTCTTGTTATCTATTTTAATATTTTTAGATATCCTCTTTTCTTTTTTTTCAACCTATCCTTTTGTAGTTTCCTATATTCCAGCAGCTTGATTAGACATATAGCAGTAACATCCTGCTGGAAATAATACAGTGAATTAGAAGGGTTTTTACCCAAAGACACTGCAAAGCAAAATATTGTCTCCAAAGCTGAACTTAAAGATTTTTATGCTTATGATAAGTTAGTTAAATTAGAATAATAGTTTAATTATAGTATATATCATGCTGCTCAAATTAAAATGTACATATATTTTTAGTTGATTAATAAACTGATAATCTAACCTAGTTACAGGTACTCAAAAAAAAATATATATATATCTATAAAGTTTTTTTGATTTTGTTCTAATAATATATATATATAGTCTTTATTTCAATTCTTATTATATTTCTCAATTTTTTATTTTCTTATATAATAAAAAATCTTTTTATTTAATTAATATTATTATTTTATATTTGTTTTTAATATATTTTTTTGATTTTTTTTTTTTAACCCATAGTTAAATCAGTATGGTTTGTCTTTATTATATTTATAAATGATATTTATAAAATGTTTTGACTTTCATATACTAACTCACCCATCATCAAAAAACTATTTCTCTAGATATAATTTAGAAAATGATATTTTGCTTCATTACTGACTTGAATAAATCTTCTAGCCAATAAAATCATTGTCTACAGGTAATGATGGATTCCTAAAGTATTTAGCATATAAAATTTTGCAGATTACTTATGCCCCTTTTTGAGGGACAAAATTCATAGCTCTTCACTTTAATAGGAACAAAAATCAAGAAATGTTATAAATCAATAATTTGAATAATAGAGAACAATTATAAATAGTTTTTTTATAGTTATTAATTTAAAAATTTTAATGTTTTCTAGTGAGGGACATTTGATTTTTATTTCTGCCTCCTCCTTTAGGGATCCATCTTTATTTACAGATCATTACTGGAGATCATTCTAAATTCTAACTGTTGTTAAAAACCAAATCATTTCCTTTCATGACAAATCCAATCCTTGATAATTTATATATACTTCATTTCCTTCTTTCTTTTAGAAACTTCTTGCCTTGGGTCTTTTATGAATATAGTTTCTTTTTTCTATTCTTGTATAACTTGAGTGATGGATCTATATCCAGGTCTTTTGGTTTTTTTGTCCTTTTTAATAATATTCTACTTCTTTTTCCACTCTATTACTTTTTTGCAATGACTATTCCATCTGTCCTTCTTGAAATTTTTTCTCATTTTATAACAAAGCTTACTGATTATACTTTGTATAACTGTCAGATGAATTTTAAGTGATACTTTGAGATAATTTTTCAAGAAAATGATTTTGATCTCTTCCATATATTTACAAATAGTATTGAAAAGGCTTATATCAGATTGCTAAATCTCATTTAACCATTTACTTGTCTAGTTATCAGTTATAGGATAAACTTCTTCTTTATTTTTGATTTCTTTATTGATATAACAGTTGATCTTTTCTTTTGCTTTTCCATATATCTTCTCTGATTTCTTTAATGACCAAATATTTGAACAAGTGTTCTAATGTTTCTTCTTGAAGTTCATATACTGAACAGATCATTATGATATAAATATCTGATTTACTTTTCTTCAATATCTGCAATACTAAAAGTTTATTATGGATCAGGTTAGTCAAGAAGTTTTTGTCTTTATTATCTTTGAAAAAGGTATCAAAGGTATTGGATGGATTGAATTGATTCCAGAAGGTTAATCAATCTATTATATTGTCATTTGGGATCCACAGTTCATGAATCCTTTTCTGTATTGTCCAATCTTTTTCTATTTTTTTCCTGTTAAATGTTTTGACAAATTCTCTAATACTAATCCCTATTGTGACTCCTTTCATGTAACTATTATAAGAACTATTACTAACTCTGATAATTGATGCCAGATTATTGGATTTTTACATTTAACTTGTTTGGCAAGTAGATCTACTTGATTATTGAACTTATTGATCCCATGAGTTTTGACCTTTATAATTTCTAAGGTGAAATCTTTCTTTTTAATTAGATTTTTTATTTTACACCATAATGACCAATTAATAGTCTTTATTTATCTCTAATGATGAGTCCCTAAAGTATTTAACATATAAAATTTTGCAGATCACTTATGTCTCTTTTTGAGAAACAAAATTCATAACTCTTTATTTTAATAGGAATAAAAATCAAGAAATACTATAAATCAATGATTTAGATAATAGAGAACAATTGTAGGTAGTTTTTTTATAGTTATTAATTTAAAATTTTTAGTGTTTCCTAGTGAGAGACATTTGACTTTTATCCTTGCCTTCTCCTTTAAAGACCTATCTTTATTTATCTCTTTATTAATATCTCCTCTTGTGAACTAATAGACTTCTATGTCTTAACTGCAATATTACAATCAGAGAATATTGAGATTGTTAAATTCAAGGAGCTGTATATATTATAGTTAGAATAGCTAATATTTCTACCCTGCTTGTTGATAGCTAGTGATCACAATGGATCAAATCAGATCAGATTTTAACTAGATTAAATTCAATCTAATTTTTATAAATATGAATTGGATATAAATTCGATTTGTTTTAAACTGATCCAATTCAATTCAAAACCATACTAGTTTAATTTGATTTAATTCGAATCCAAATCTGATTCAAATTCAAATCTAATTTGATTCAATCTGATTTGATTCAATTC